AGGGTCTAGGCCCGAAACGTCAGCCTTCCTGCTCCTATGACGCTGCTTGGCCTGCTGTGTTCATCCAGCTCTATGCCTTGTTGTCTTAGATTCTCCAGCATCTGCAGTTCCTACTATCTCTGATAGGTTTTTATGCAATTCTCTGACTGGCCAACCGAACTTGCCTCCATCACACTCTGAGGCAATGCATTTCAAATCAAACCACACACTGCGCCAATTTTTTTTCTCTCTCACATCATGATTGGTTTACTGTCATGTAATAATTAGCAACATATACAATCTGTGTTCTCTACTTGTTCATCCTGCTGCCTAAGGGGATAATTTCTTCCCAACCATTATTTAAACCACTATCATTTTGAATTTTTAAAAAATAATTATTCTCTCAACTTCTCCGATGCAAGGAGAATAACTCCAGCTTCTCTTATCTACCTATGTAACTGATGTTTCTTATTCTTAGAACAATTCTCCACTCACGTATAGCCTTTGAAACGGCCCTGACATTTTACTTTTGTGTTTTTTTTTCAAACTGTTGACTGAAAACAAAACGAACAGTTTATAACTAGGGTTTTACAAGGCTGTAAGGGATTTGATATTTACTGTGAACCCTGTTTGTGTAACAATGGGTTCGAGCAAAGCTTGGAGCTAAAGGGTTGTTTACAAGTGAAGCCAATTTGAGTGGCCAGTTATCAATGACAATAGCAAGTTTGTGTTTGTCCCCTCCCAATACTTTGGAACTATTCTAGAATTTAGGAAACTCTGGAACATCAGTGGATTGATTGCTTCTGCAGCTCTCTTTTACAAGCCCACAATGCATGTTGAAAGGTCCAGGAGATTTGTCACCACATGGTCCTGTTAATTCATCCACAGCTCTTTCTTCCACTGATTTTGTTTTTAAGTGTGCCAATCACCAGACCACTGGTTTCCTGTTATCTTTGGAAATATGTGCAAAATGTTTGTTCATAGTCTGCCATTTCTTTATTCCACCTTTTTAATGCATCTATCTCTATCGGGCCGGCCAACATTTCCTCTCACCTCTTCCCATTTTCGTTGCTATAATTTAAAATGTTTTAATGCTTACTGCTAATCTGCCCTTATTTTCTCATTCCTTGATTTATTGTTGTCACGTGTACCGAGGTACAGTGAAAAGGTTTGTTTTGCATATAGTACAGGCACATCATACCATACAAAAATAGGTCATAGGGTGATTGAACGCAGTAAGAAATAAAGTTACAGCTGCAGAGAAGGTGCACAAAAATCAAGATCAATGAGATTTGAAATTTGAGAGCTCCATTCAGCAGTCTGATAACAGCATGGAAGAAACTGTTCTTGAACCTGTTGGTATGTGTGGTTAAGATTTTGTCCATTCTGCCCGACGGAAGAGGTTGGAAAAGATTATAACCAGGGTGGGAGGGGTCTTTGATGATGTTGGCCACCTTTCCGAGGCAGCGAGAAGTGTAGATAGAGTAAATGGATGAATGGTTGGTTTGCGCGTCTGCGCTGTCTTCACACCCCTGTGTAGTTTCTTATGGTCCTGGGCAAAGGAGTTGCTGCACCAAGGCATACTGCATCCAGATAGAATGCTTTCTATGGTGCATCTATAAAAATTGGTCCTTGTTAATTGTCACCCTCCTTTACCACAATTTAAAATCCTCCCAATCTCAGGCTGCAGTTTAGCAGACTACTCTACAGCATTCGCCAAAACTGCAGCCTGTAACTCCCTGACAGCGCTTTGTACAACTAGGTGTGGTCAAGAGAATGGAGAAAGAAAACCAGTTTGGCCAACGACCAGGTCTTCTGTCGGAACTGCCTCATTGACCAGGATGGCAGCTCTAGATGAAGGGGAAAGAGGCAACTTGTCCCTGGCATGATTTGATTGAAAATATTTGAGCGCTGGAAAAATGTCCCACTAGTCGGAGAAATAACTCATCTCAGAAATAATTCCATATATCTACCTTTATCTTAATCAATGAAAACATTTAAATCTGTAATTGGAATGTGATTGCAGAAAAGCATTACGACTTCCATCATTTTTTGCTCGTGGACTTGATTCCTAACTTTGTTGCGAGCAGATATGGGTCTAACCTTTGGGCTACGTTCTCCACCTACACCAACAACACTTCATCACATCTCTAGAGAATTACCTGCAACACAGAGTCATTGTTGATCGAAACAAAAGGATCAAATCACAAACCACATGTGGGGGCCAAGGTAGGATTCGCTGGTCTTGGCCAGGAGCTCACCGGCATGGTGTGCCACAGCTGGTTTGACTTTCTCCTGAAAATCAGTGTCTTGCAATTGCCGTAAGCAACAGCCGATACCTGTGCAGAGGCATCCAGGAGGGAAATGTAGAACATAAAGGCGTTGCAAGGCAGCTGACGGCATGGGCACCAATTCTGGAGCGGTTAAAAAATAGAGGTTGCCCAAGAGGCAGGATCTGGAGTGCAGATAACCTGGAGTTTTGCAGGGCTGGAAACCCCTTTTTAATAAATGAAGATGGGCTTCTCTGTATCACCATGTCAAGGAACTACACTTTTATTAAATCACTCATTGATTAGTACAAAACATCAAGAAAAGAAACCCTTGATTCTAGTCAGCACCTCCTCTTGGTCCTCAGTTAGTTGGCCAAAGCTGGTTTTTGTGGTCAACCTCAAGGCACCTGCACAGACTCCGACAGCCCCCGAAAAAAGGTTACGCGGGACACTGGCCTGTCGAAAAGCAGCTCCAGTACCATGCAAGTCCTAGACTATGGAGCCAGGTGATGGTCACCAGCACCAGAGTTACTCTCCTCTGCAGTCAGCCACTCAGCAGGGGAAGGAAATCGGCGATACTATCCACGTAGAAGTCTGGCACCATCTTCTTGTGCTGCGGAAGCTCGCTGGCCATCTTGGCGTGGACATCCTGCAGACTGGAGACGCCGGTCAACGCCAGCACCGTCCACATCCCGCAGTTGGCGCCAAACAGGATGTCCGTCTCCAGGCGGTCGCCCACCATCAGGGCCCGGGAGGGATCAACGGCACCTTCCCCTCCTTCGCTGGCGATGCAGTCAAACATAAACCGGCCGGGCTTTCCGACGACCGCGGCCTTGCGGCCAGAGGCCACCTCGAGGGCTGCTGTTAGGCTGCCAGTACCTGGGAGGAGAAACGGTGGGAGAAGGAGGGAGGAATGATTTGATTCAATTCAATTCCCAGTGCCCCGAAACACCCCCTCCCCGTCTCATTACCACCCCACTTTGTAGAACAGAATCCTAAGGTGCGGGGAGGCACGGTGTCACAGTGGTTAGCACAGCTGCCTCACAGCGCCAGGGACCCGGGTTCGATACCACCCTCGGGCAACTGTGTGTGGAGTTTGCACATTCTCCCTGTGTCTGCGTGGGTTTACTCCAGATGCTCCGGTTTCCTCCCACAGCCCAAAGATATGCAGGTTAGGGTGGGTTGGCCATGCTAAAATAGCCCGTAGTGTTCAGGAGTGTGTAGATTAGGTGGGTTATATGGGGATGGGTCTGGGTGGGATGCTCCGAGGGTCGGTGTGGACTTATTGGGCCGAAGGGCCTGTTTCCACACTATAGGGATTCTATAAAAACAAAGATAGTGGCTATTTGGCCTATTGAGTCTGCACCAACCCTTTGAACAGCATTCCACCCAAAACCAAATTTCTCCCACCCCTCCACCCAATTCCTGTAGCGCCACATCAATCATGGATAACATTTTTTCTTATGAGTATTCTGTTCATTTCCACAGACAAGAACCTAAATGGAGCAAAGACATGCAAGAGACAACAGGTCTACAGAGATGTAATATTAACTGCTGCACCAGTCTGACACGCAAAAAGCAGCAAGCAAAGTATGGGAGCCCCTTTCCAGGGAGAAAACATTTGAAGTAAACTTTCAGCCCAGAAACTTTTTTCAGATTGGTAGAGGTCCTAGAGACCACAAGTGGAGTTGTGCACACTTTCAATCTGGTATTAATTAAAAACAATATAAAAAAGGTACTGGAGAATTTGCAGCAACAAAAACAGTTAACATATGTTACCAAAACTGAGCGTTTATAACTAAGGCTGAACAGTTCGGGACTCACTCAAAAAAAAAAAGTGACCTGATAAGAGCAGTTTGAGATCAGGGAAAATGTGATAGGGAAAGTAAAGATATTTCCAGTTGTGGGTGAATCAGAACGAGGGTGTGATGGTGGGTGGAACATGAAAAATAGTCGCCTATAAGCACAACAGGGAAACCAAAAGAAACAACTTGAGTTAATGTGTGGAACTCCCTACCATATGAAACAGTTCACTGATTTGACACAGCACCAGCCCTATTAATCCAAAGTTGCTCTCCGAATGAGCAACTTTACTTTCATTCTCCCCAGAGCCTTGCCACGGCTCCTTTTCAGATAACGGGCCGACTCTCCCACGAAAACAGAAAGCCAGTTTGCCTCCACCACGCACAGACACAATGCACTTCAGACCTACGTTGAGGGAAGTGGCGAGGGGGTGCATTTTAGGGGAAGCTAGATAATAAAAAGGATTTGCTGATGGGGTTCAATGAAAAACGGGTGGAAGAAGCATTGAATTGCTGAGTTGAGCTGACTATTGCTGCGTAATTCCCTAGGAATGCTGGCCCAAGGCTCACTTTCAGATGGATCTTCTAGACTTCTGGGTACACACTGCCCTTGTAAAAATGTTGACATCTTACATCAGCATTCTGCTTGACTGGCTTGTTTAAGCAGTTTTGTGGTAGGTTTAACTGAAAGAAAAGCAAGGAGAAAAATTATCAAGCCAACAATGCCTCAAGCTATTGGGACCTACCTGAGCAACGTTTTAAAAGCTATCGGGAAAATGACTTTCTGCGCTTATCCTCCCAAAAACCAAGAGTAGCACAAGAGGGCTGCTCTCTCATTAGGGAAAGACAACCGGCAGCGAGTTTAACCGGAGGGTCATCATGCTTCAGGCAAGGTTGAGGAGAATGTGGACCTTCACGGTAACGCCAGCCACTATGCGAATCGAATCCATGCAGTCGGCATCACTGCAACGCAAACCAATTGTCCAGCCAACTGAGCTAACCCAATCGCCCACCACCACCTTCCCAAACACCAACTCCTAACTGAGCACCTCATCCACCGACACATCTCAGCTCTCTCGTTTCTGACTCAGAAGACTGTGGGCTCAAGTACCATAAAATCTGGACCAATGCTCTCAATACTGGCTCGGAGGCTGCTCTGTTGGAGGTAACGTCTGTCAGATATCAACCCCGGCTTCAGCTGACAAATGATCCCCAGAGATAACAAGGTGTGGAGCTGGATGAACACAGCAGGCCAAGCAGCGTCAGAGGGGCAGGAAGGCTGACGTTTCTGGCCTAGACCCTTCTTCAGAAACGCCCAAAATGTCAGCCTTCCTGCTCCTCTGATGCTGCTTGGCCTGCTGTGTTCATCCAGCTCCACACCTTGTTATCTTGGATTCTCCAGCATCTGCAGTTCCTACTATCTCTGAAACAAATGATCCCCATGTTATTTCAGAAAGGAATGGTGGCAAGTGGATTTACCCTTGTGAACTGGAAATAAAAGCAAGGGCAGGAGGGAAAGTTTGCTTCTACAAACTAAACAGGAAACAATGTTTGTACAGCAGCCTTACATAACCCCACATTCCAGGTCAAAGGATTCCAAGTCTAATCGAACTGCAATTACTGAGGAAATGTAGGAAGCGTGGCGGCCAGTTTGGGTACAAGCCCCCACAACCAGCAAGGTGGCAATCACCATAGAACATAGAACATTACAGCGCAGTACACAGGCCCTTCAGCCCTTGATGTTGCGCCAACCTGTGAAACCAACCTGAAGCCCATCTAACCTAAACTATTCCATTATCATCCATATGTTTATCCAATGACCATTTAAATGCCCTTAAAGTTGGCGAGTCTACTACTTTTGCAGGCAGGGCATTCCACGCCCTTACTACTCTGAGTAAAGAACCTACCTCCGACATCTGTCCTATATCTATCACCCCTCAATTTAAAGCTATGTCCCTTCGTGCTAGCCATCACCATCCGAGGAAAAAGGCTCTCACTGTCCACCCTATCTAATCCTCTGATCATCTTGTATGTTTCTATTAAGTCACCTCTTAACCTTCTTCACAGTTCATCTTTTTATGCTGGCTGACCTGCTAGGGTAAGAGGCTGGCTTTTCTTCAAGGTACTGCAACGGGAACCTCCACGTGGGCAGAGAGAGAGAGACGGAGCCTTGGTTTAACATTTCTGTTGAAGACCCTCCCTCCCCCCTTCGTTCGGTACCATGTTGGCAATTTCAGCCTGGATTGGGTGCTGAAGTCGCTGGAGGGGAGTTACCTACACAATTTCCCGACACAAACCTAGGCAGAACCCATTACCATCGATGGCCCGAGGACCGCTTTGCGGTCATATGAAGCCGGAAATCCGGAGGCATACAAAGTGGTGGTCCCGAAACGCCGGATTAGCAAGGTCAATATTTAGAAAGAGTTGAAAACATGAATGGGAAATGAAGGTAACTGCAGCCAACAAATTCAACACAAAATTACAAATAGACAAACGTGGGATCCATATCTTACTGAGGAACAAATTACTTCCTTACAGCATACCGCCAAGAGGTCCTTGCTCAATCAGCCAACGGAGCTTTATTACACATTACAAAGCTGCACTGGGAGTGAATGTAGTGTCTGTAATTTGCTGTGTTTTTGATGAAGCAGAGAGCAACAAGAGTAACTGGTCCAATTCTTCTCAACAGCAGACTTAGCAAAGTCCTACCCTCCCGAAGTCGGCAGCTGCGATTTTAACTGGAAGGGTATCCTAAGGGGAAACTAACCTCCTCTGATATATGTCCTATAGCAGGAACCTCTAGTATTTCAGCAATCAGCAGGAGCAACACTGCCGGTGTGTCGGAAAGCAGTGGCTGCGTTTCCGGATTATTGGCCGCGATTTGTCCCTTTCACCGATTTTTCTGCTTCAGGTTAAGTGGCCAAATCTCTTGGGGCAACGTACACCCAAGTTAATTCACAGGAGTTGCAGCCACCGGAAAATTAGGCTCCACCTGGCCCACTGTAACTTGTCAGCGAGTGGCCTTGCACACCTCCCCAATTTCCATCACTGCCCCCCTGACTGGTGCTTCTGCCTGGGCTGCAAACTCTGGAATTTCATTTCTACTCATCTATCTTTTAAAACGCACCCCCTCACTCGTCCTAAGTTCTCACGCTTTTTCTTAAAAAGAAGCATTGAGATTTTATGGGACGAGTGTGGCACTGGCAAGGCAGACATCTGGCCTATCACTGGGCCATTTCGGAGGGTAGCTCAAAGTCATCCACATTACAGTGGGTCAGGAGTCACATGTAGGCCAGTTGGGGTAATGATTTCCTTCCCGAAAGGATGCTAATCAACCAGATGAGTTTTTTGCAACAATCTGTCTTCCCATTTGAGTTTCGTTAACTGAAACTAAAATCCACGACCACCCGTGCCCCCAGCCTGGACATTATCATCATGTCGCTGTGGTATAGCGTCATATTTTTGTTTGAGAACACTCACCAAACACGCCTCAGACATTTCACTCAAGTTAAAGGAGTTGTTTAAACACAGGTTGGGGTTCACTCAGGGGGTCAGAGGTAAAACGTTAATGCGCAGGGCTTTATAAATTGGCCACAGCAACACTTCCCTCACACGTAGCACAAACAGAAGTAATCTTTACACAGACAATGCAAAGAGTGCTTAGCTTTAAACTGATTGAAAGTTTAAAGAAAGATTGAAAGGATTGGAAAATAAACCATGCAGACTAAAGAGGCTGATGGCCATCTCAAATGGAAGGAGACTTAAACCAGCTGGCATCTTGGACACTGGTCTCAGGTATGGCTCTGTGGTAGCTCTCTCTGCTAAACTGGTAGCTGGTGGCTTCAATTTTCTTCCCAGACACTAAACGGTATTGCAGGAGTGCGCCAACAGCACAGACACCCCTCCCTCAAATGAGCTATTAAACCAAGGCTCTATCTGCCTTCACGAGTGGACAGACAATCTCACATTTTAAAAAAATGCTGGAAGCACTCAGCTTGCTCCACAGCATCCGTGAAGAGAGAGAAAGAGTTAATGTTTAGACCATTACGACAACTGTTCAGTTTCATAGCAGAGTCGTACTGGATTCAAAACATTGTCAATTTCTCTCTCCATAGATGCGGCCAGACCTGCAGAGTATTTCCACCCCTTTGTTTTTATTTCAGATTTCCAGCATCTACAGTGGAGTGATTTTGCAATAACCTCACTGCACTATTGTGCTGACCACTGTACTTCCTATTGCGCAGTACAGCATGCTCATAAAAAAGCTTCATTGGTTCCGAAAAGCTTTGTGACATGAAGGACCCGCCCATTATTAATAGCTTTCTGTACAGCCTCACCCTCCCCCTCCCCCTCCAAACTACAACCTTTTCGATTTCACTTTGCCCTCAGTCTAGAGTCACATGCAAACCCATCAAAGGAGGCAAGTCCCCATCCCTGAAAGTTACTGCCGAATGAGTTTTTCATGACAATGTGGTGGCCTCATGGACAACATTACCGATACTGAAATTCAATTCCAGATTGACTAATTAAATTTAAATTCCCCAAAATACAGTGGTGGGATTTGAACACTCATATCAGGGGCATTAGTCTGCCCTTCTGTCATAACCAACACATTCTGGTCACCTCATTGACAAACAGGAGCAAGTAAAATCCATGTCACCAAAAGCAAACAACAAATAAAAGGGTGTCAAAAATGACACTCATAGAACCTTCCATGACGTCAGGGTGTTCCAAAGCACCATACAGATAATGGTGAAATCTTTTTGAAGTGTAGTCACCTACAGTCATGGAGATGTACAGCACGGAAACAGACCCTTCGGTCCAACTCGTCCATGCTGAACAGATATTCCATATTAACTTAGTCGTACTTGCCAGCATTTGACCCATATCCCTCTAAACCCTTCCAATTCATATACCCATTCAAATGTTGTAATTGTACCAGCTTCCACTACTCCTTGTGGCAACTCATTCCATACGTGCACTACCCTCTGTGTGAAAAAGTTGCCCCTAAGGTCCTTTTTAAATCTTTCCCCTCTCACCTTAAACCTATGCCCCTCTAGTTTTGGACTCCCCCACCCTTGGGAAGAGACCCGACTATTCACTCTATCCGTGCCCCTGGCGATCTTATAAACCTCTATCAGGTCACTCCTCTGCCTCCAACATTCCAATGAAAACAGCCCCAGCCTATTCAACTTCTCCCATTAGCTCAAACCTTCCAACCCTGGCAACATCCTTGTTAATCTTTTCTGCACTCTTTCACGTTTCACAACATCGTTCCTATAGCAGAAAGGCCAGAATCAAGTGCAGTATTCCAAAAAGGTGACCTAACCAATGTCTTGTACAGCCACATGACCTCCCAACTCCTATACACATCGCACTGACCAATAAAGACAAGAGTATCAAACACCTTCTTCACCACCCTGTCTACTTGTGACAGCTTTCAAGGAATGACGAACCTGTGCTCCAAGGTCTCTTTGTTCAGCAACACTCCCCAGGACCTTACACCATTAGGTGTATAAGTGCAGCCCGGATTTGCCTTTCCAAAATGCAACACCTCACATTTATCTAAATTAAACTCATTTACCTTGCCCTTCACCCCAACAGGAACATACTGTCACTTATTATCTCCTTTTTGAAGGCTTCCCACTTTCCAGCCGTCCCTTTACCTGCAAATATCTACCCCAAACCAACTTTTGAAACTTCTTGCCTAATACCATCAAAATTGGCCTTCCTCCAACTTAGAACCGTAACTTTTAGATCAGGTCTGTCTTTTTCCATAACTATTTTAAAGCTGATTTAAAACTTGTAACACAGGAAGCATGCAAGACAGCAATGCCCATAAGCAACCAGATAACTAGTAACACAAGAACAGGAGTAGATCGCTAAGCATGGTTAACTTAATTTAATCACAGAATATCAGCTACTTTCATATTACTTCCCTTTCGTAGCATCCCTTGATGTCATTAGTCTCCAGAAACCTACATATTTCTGTTTGTTCAAGACAACGATTCATCTTCCAGAGTCCTCTGGGGTAGAGAATTCCAAAGATTCATCATCTTCTTCCTCATTTCAGCCCTAAATGGCCTGCCTTTTATTTTGAGACATCCTCTGGGTCTACACGCTCCTGCTAGGAAACATATCCTATCTAAACCCATCCTGTAAGATTCTGCTGTTTTTAAAACACTCGAGAAGACAAACTCAGTTTTCCTTGATCCCTATTGATAGGGGAATCACGTCAGCCTCAGGATTAGCCTGGGGAACGTCTGATGCATTTTCTCAAAGTACATTCCTGATTAGATAAGGTGGTCAAAAACTGGATACAATACTTCAGATGCAATCTCTATTACAACAGCAAGACACCTCTACCTATCATAGACACCTTTACCTATCACAGTGCAAACAAAGGCCATTTGGCCCATCAAGTCTGCACCAACCCTCAAAAACATGCAACCCAGACCTAGCTCTGCATTTGCAATTGGTAACCCACCTAACCTACACATCCCTGAACACTATGGGGTAGTTTAGCATGGCCAATCTACCTAACCTGCACATCTTTCGACTGAAAACTCCAGCACCTGGCAGAAACCCATGCAGACATGGAGAATATGCAAACTCCACACAAGGCTGGAATCAATCCCATGTCCCTGGCCTTGAGAGAGAACAGTGCTAACCACTGTGCCAACTTGTACTTAAATCCCTTTCAATGTAGGCCAACAGACCATTTGCCTTCCTAATTGCTTCCTGAACCTAACTTCAAGTACAGAAATTTCTGGAGAAACACAGCAGGTCAGGCAGCCATCTGTGGAAGAAGCAAAGTTAACATTTGAAATTCACAGACCGTTCTTCAGAACTGGCAGTTATCTCTGCTTTTCCTCCACAGATGCTGCCAGACCTGTTAAGTTTCTCCAGCAGTTCTTTGCTTCATTTTACATTTAAAATCAAATGACTCATTAACAATGATGGCCAGGAGTCCCTTTGGACAACCACACTTCCCAACCTCCCTCCATTTAAGAAATATTCTGCAGTTTTGTTCTTCTACCAAAGTGGATAACTTCACACATTCGCATTGTTTTCCATTTGCCGTTTTCTAGCCCATTCACTTAACCCGTCCAAATCCCTGTGAACTAAAATTAGTTTTAGTGATACTGATTGAGGACAGGTCATAGAAGCATACGGCACAGAAACAGACCCTTCAGTCCAACTAGTCCATGCCAAACATAATCCCAAACTAAACTAGTCACACCTGCCTGCTCCTGGCTCATATCCCTCCAAACCTTTCTTATTCATGCACTTACCCAAAATGTCTTTTAAATATTGTAATTGTACCCGCATTCACTATTTCCTCAGGAAGTTCATTCCATACACAAACCACTTGGTAAGAAATTTGCTAATGTCTTCTCATCATAAAAATGTGTCCCCTACTTTTGAAATCCCCATCCTTGGGAAAAGACAAGTACCATTAACCCTATCCATACCCCTCATTATTTTATAAACTTCTAGAAGGTCCTCTCGCAATCTCCTAGGCTCCAGTGAAAATATTTGATGGGACATCAGAAATGACTCCTTTGCCCTTGTAAATTGCACGAAGGTATTTCAAATGCACCTAAGCGGTCCAAGTGTCTTGTTTTAACATCTCAACTAAAGGATTCCATCATCTCAGTGTCATGCTAGAAATGTCAGCCTATATTATGTCCAGCAAACTCTATTTTAACCGGTACTGTCAATAAAGTCAAAAATTATATGTCAGACACAGGAACTTTACTCAATTATCATAATCTCCAATTAGTCAGTGAGAATGCTCTGTACCTTAAATAATAATGCGACTTATTTAAGCAATATATGCTGTAAATAAAGTATAATAATCACGTGTATACACCTTACATTACTCAGGGTCTGTTTTTAGATTGATTGTGTGGGCCTCTTGATCAATCAGAATATTTGACCAACTGGCACACTCCTGGTCCCTAAAAAGTTCCTGCTGTGAAGTCTCTGGAGCGAGACTAAACCAAAACCTTCAGGCTCAGGACAAGAAAGCTACAGCAGTCACATCAAAAGCAAGGATGAACCTGACTTCCACTCTATAAGGAAAGAAATCATATTCATAAAGCATCCTTAGCGCAGGAAAGCAGGCAGAGGTTTTAGGAGGAGTATGATGAAACATTTGACACTGAGCCAGACAAGGTGAGCTGGCACTTGGTTAAAGCAGCAGGGTTTTAGGCCTGTCTCAAAAGGAGTAACCCAACCAAAAGAAGGTATTCCACAGCCAAAAGGTCTAGGCAGCAAAAGGCACAAGTTACCAACAAATAAAGAAATGAGGGATTTAGAACAGACCAAGAGTTGGAAGGTTTACAGAGAAAGGAAAGAGAGAAAAATTAAAGCAGGCACAGGAATAATAAGGACTTCAGGTGCCATTAACCTGACCACATTGCATTGCAACTGGACTGAGATGGGGGTGGGGGGAGTGAAATTGAGGGGGTGGGGGTGTCACCGTCACGGAATGATTATGAATGATTGTGCAGGGTGGTGGGGGAAGGTGAGATTAGGGGAGGGAGGGGGGTTACATCAGTTGTTGGTGAGCGGGGTGACAATTCAGTATCAATGCTCGGGAGTTGGACGGGGACGTCAGAGTGTTTCCAAGTTAACATTTCGCCCAGAAACCTCCCCGGCCCGCGGCGGCTCTCACCTGGGACCACCCTCCCTCCTTCCCGGGGGTGCCAGGGGTCGGGGTCGGTGGCCACGAAGAGGCAGCGAGGGTCCTGCAAGAAGCCGCACGCCCGGGACAGCCGGCCGAAGCTGAACCCCTCGTCGTAGCCGACCAGGACGGCCCTGACCCCGGCGGAAGACGCGACGACCTCCTCCTCCTCCTCCTCCTCCTCCTCCTCCTCTTCCCCGGGGTGTTCGCCTCCTCCCAGAGCCCGCAGGCCGACCGCCGCTAGCTCGGAGCGCAGCCCGGGGCTACCCAGCACATAGACGGTCGGGGCCGAGGATGGGGATGGGGCCGGGGCCAGGGCCTGCCGCAGGTACAGGGCCGAGCAGCGGGCCGTGTTGAGGAGCTGCCGGGCCCGCACGGGTAGGCCCAGGCGCCGGCATTTGTCGAGCAGGCCCCCGGCCGTGCAGCTGCCGTTGTTGCTCAGCAGGTAGACCCGCTTGCCCAGCGCCTGCAGCCGGCCCAGCAGCTCGGCCGCGCCGCTCAGCACCCCGTCCCGGCCTTTCCACAGCACCCCGTCGCAGTCCAGCACGAAGCTGTCCACGGCGCCCAGCAGCAGCTCCCGGGCCCCGCTCTCGCAGCTCAGCCGCCGGCAGCAGCTCCGCGCCGGAGCCAGACCGGCCCTACCGGCCGCCGCCATGTTGAGAAGGGCAACGGGGCGTGGGCACGCTCCGATTGACAGCCTGGCGCAGCCAATCGTCATGGCGTCCGTCGCGACTGCCGCGCCACAAACCCCGCCTTCGTTCCACTACCGACCAACCACAGACAGTCTCTTCCGAAAAGCCTGGCGCTGATTGGATGTTTCTCCGCGGAGGAAGGCGGGATCCCGGCTGCCCGACGTATGCCGTGCATCCAATCACAATCAACGGCGTGACGTTTGTCCCGGCTGCCGGGGTTGTGGCGGAACACTAATTTTGATCGACGTCCAATGTAACCAATGAACGAGGAGTCGGCTTGTTGTTTATTTTCTGCAGTAACCTAGGCTGTAGTACCCGGTGTGGCTTCCTCTACATCGGGGAAACCAAGCGGAGACTTGGGGACCGCTTTGCAGAACACCTACGCTCTGTTCGCAACAAACAACTGCGCCTCCCAGTCGCGAACCATTTCAACTCCCCCTCCCATTCCTCAGACGACATGTCCATCCTGGGCCTCCTGCAGTGCCACAACGATGCCACCCGAAGGTTGCAGGAACAGCAACTCATATTCCGCTTGGGAACCCTGCAGCCCAATGGTATCAACGTGGATTTCACAAGTTTCAAAATCTCCCCTCCCCCTACCGCATCCCAAAACCAGTCCAGCTCGTCCCTGCCTCCCTAACCTGTTCTTCCTCCCACCTATCCCCTCCTCCCACCTCAAGCCGCACCTCCATCTCCTACCGACCAACCTCATCCCGCCCCCTTGACCTGTCCGTCCTCCCTGGACTGACCTATCCCCTTCCTAACTCCCTACCTACACTCACCTTTACTGGCTCCATCCCCGCCTCTTCGACCTGTTTATTTCCTCTCCACCTATCCTCTCCTCTATCCCTATTCTATCCGCCTCCCACTCTCTCCCTATTTATTTCAAAACCCCCTTCCCCTCCCCCTTTTCTGATGAAGGGTCTAGGCCCGAAACGTCAGCCTCTCTGCTCCTATGATGCTGCTTGGCCTGCTGTGTTCATCCAGCCCTGCACCTTGTTGTCTCTGCGTTCAATTTAGTCTAGTTAGACTTCAGCAGGGCTTTTCATGAGGTATTGCATACGGGAGACTGACAGTGAAGGTAAAACCCCTTGGGAACCAGGGCTAACTGGATCCAGAATTGGCAAATTGTACCAATTGGCAAAGTGGCAGGAAGCAGAGGGTGATGGTGGTGTGCTGTGCTTTTGTGACTGGAAGTATGTGTCCAGTGAGATTCCATAGGGATCAGTGTTTGAGCCCTTGCTTTTTGTGGTGTATTTAATGATTTCGACTTGAATGCAGGAGGGTTGGTCATTGAGTGCACCAATGACACAAAAATTGATGGGTGGTAAAAAGTGAGGAGGATAGTCTTCACTTACAGTTGGGCTGATCAGTGGAACTCCACATCTTCCATTTCAGAGGGTGGGCATTGAGTATTTTGCAAACATCGTTGGTTGTAGGGAGATTGACATTTTCTGTGGGACTTGAGAGGAGACAGGAGTCCTCAATGTTTCCCAAAGTTTTGTTCACCTATCTTGCAGTGAGGCCGGCGGTTTTAATAGATCATTCAACTTCAGACTGCCCTGTATTAAATCTCGTGTCCTTAACTGAGCGCCTTCTCTCATGTCCTTATCCCAAACCACCACAACCAGGCTGCTAGCAAAACCAACACATTGTCAGCTATTAATGGTCCCCATTGATTCCACCCAAGATTGACTTTTACCCATTCCATTGTCCGCTCAGCTGTTGTTTTCCCCCTCTCCCTGGGTTTCACCTCCACCCATCCTTTACTCCATCACCCCCCTCCACCCATCCTTTACTCCATCACCCCCCTCCACCCTTTGAGGAGACTTTTGCCCACCCGCCCCCCATCTTCCCCAAATGAGACTGACTCCCCTAGGATCAGGTGATGAATCTGCTGGTTGGGGTGAGGAGCGGGGGAGCGGAATTGGGGGCCATTCTACTGATGCAGGCAGGAATCCCATTGGAGCAGATGGAAACACCAGTTCATATTTTACAATCCACCCGATGGTAAACTACAGTGACCTCAATGGAGCCTCAGGGTTAAAGGTAAAGCCAGCATCACCCTGTACCCTGGCAGTGATCCAAAGGGTAGCTCAGGTTAAAATTGCTCCGGTGCCCAGGAAATTGGGAACAAGAGGAGGCCATTCAGCCCCTTTTTTCTAATGCGATTCAATGAGATCATGTTGGGCACATACACCAACTCTTTCCTAGCTCCCATCAGCTCTGAAGAAGGGTCAGTCGACCTGACACTCTGCTTTCTTTCTCTCTCTCTCCCTCTCACTCTCTCTCTGTCGCTTCCAGGCCTGCTGAGCTTCTCCAACAATTTTTCTGGTTTTGTTCTTGTCTTCCAGCATCCGCGTTTTTTATTCTTCCTTGCCCCCTCCCCACCTCCCTCCCCTACCCCCATCAACTCCACCGCCCTCCCTCCCCCACCTCCCGGAGAGATTGAATCTGAAAAGAAAAGTTTTGTTTTGTTCGAGACTTTTGAGATCTGAGCACGTAGCCTCCTCAAAATCGAAAGTACAAGGAATCAGCAGCAGCTGACCCAGAGGAAAACGAAATTTAACCACCACGTCAGATTAAAGGGCTGGGCCGGGGAGGGATTGGGACGGAAGGACGGTGTCAACTCTCTAACAGCCGGGGGGAGCCGAGAATGGGCTGTAACTGGAGCGAGCTATGTGGAGATCCGTCCTCGGACCCCGAGCCCATCGTGGTCCCCTCTCCCAGAGCGGGGACCCTACCGCCTGTTGCCAGCGTCCAGCCTGTTATACGCGGCTACCGGGAGCTGAGCGATGGACACGACCCCCAGTCAATCGCGAATTGGCTGCAGTACGGGAGACAGGGCTACAGGACGGTGAGCCAGGAGCAGGAGGAGGAAAAGGACAGGTCTGACGGCGTACAGGAGATCGATTGGCAAAGTAAGAAGAATGACGAGCACCTCTTCTTCGAGACTTTCTTCTCGGTGTTGCACCGCGTCCGGGGCTATCACGGCACTCTCCAGCGCTGGAGGAACGACCTGCAGCGGGCACACAGAGAGGGCACCCACGTCCTAGACTGGTCCTACATCTGGCGCAAGGATGGCATCGGCTACCTCCAGACGCTGAGGCTGGTGCAGGAGTTGGTGGAAGATGAGCCCTTCACCCTCGCGGATCTGGTTAAGCTGGAGGCTTCGGCGAAGAGGGTGGTGAAGCAGAGGAAGAAGGAATATCATCGTGCCCAGTGTCAGGGAAAATCCAATTCGAGGCACCAAAAGGTCCTGCAGGCCTGGGCTAAGGTCGTGGAAACCCTAGAGTGTCATATCTAATAAAATCACACCGTGTGAAAATCTGATGAAGGACATGCACCATCAACCGTACCCCACAATCTCCCAAGACATCCTGCACCGAACATTTTACTAGGTCCTGCTGAAGGCCTTTGAAGCACAAAGATGGAAGATTGAAATTTTTGCGTAATGGACAATTAATGTTAAATCGGAGAGTGACTAATATTGGCTAGCCAGAGGGTGTGAATGATAAAGATGGGGTGTAGGTCACAGACCAGTCTCAATGCACCCCACCCCCACCCCCTGTTCCTAATTTCCTGGGTACAGGAGCAATTTTAACCTGAGCCACCCTTTGCATGGATGCCAGGGTACAGGGTGATGTTGGCTTTACATTTAACACTGAGCTCCATTGATGTCACTGGAATTTATGATCAGGTGGAGTGTAAACTATCAACTGGTGTTCCATCTGATCCAGTGGGATTCCTACCTGAATGAGACACAGCAAAATAATCCCAATCCCTGCTAAACCACAACCCCACCCCCGCCACCCGACCCTACCAGGCAGGTTCATGGCCTGATCCTAGGGGAGTCAGCTTGTCTCAGTTAGAGAAGGTACTTGGACTGGATGGGGGAAAGGGTCTCAACATGCTAGTTGAGGGAATGAGAACATGGGAACAGGTCAGGAAGCTCCTGACTGCTATCCAGTGGGTGACAGGAACATAAGAGAGTGGAGAAGGAGCTGACCATTCAGCCCATCAAGCCTGCTTTGTCATTACTCCATGTTTCCCACAAACTTTACATGCCCTGGAGAGGTCAAAAATATGTCTATCCCAACCCTCCAGTTGCAGACAGTTCAGGGAAAGTTCATTAGATTAACTCAAAAGGTGAACAGCTTGTCCTATGAGGACAGATTGAGCAGTTTAGGTCTCTGCTCACTAGAGTTTAGAAGAATGAGAGGAAATCTAACTGAGGCATATAAGATGGTGAGGGGGTATTGACAGAATAGACATAGAGAGAATGTTTCCTCTTGTAGGGCAATCTAGAATAAAGAGGTCACTGTTTTAGGACAAGGCAGTAGCAGATTTAAAACAGAGATGAGGAGGAAATTACTTCTCTCAAAGAGTCATGACTCTATGGAATTCAGAGAGACCGCCATGCCAGCCCACTGAGGAACTGCCACGCCAGCCCACCAAGAGACCACCATGCCAGCCCACCGAGAGACCCCCACATCAGGCCACCGAGACCACAACGCCAGCACACCGAGAGACCACCATGCCAGCCCACCGAGAGACCACCATGCCAACCCACCAAGAGACCACCATGCCAGGCCACTGAGAGACCACCACACCAGCCCACTGAGAGACCACCATGCCAGCCCACCGAGAGACCACCAT